GTGGTAAATCTTTACAGAAGTAGATTTCCCCATCTTCCTTCCATGGATTGGCTGATGGGTTTGAACCACTAACTTTCTGGTTAGTAGTCAAATGTTGTAGGCACTGCACCACCAGAGCTCCTTGATTGATATACAACATTGATATACCAAACCAATCCAGCAAAGCTCCTAACATTGATATAGGTGGATTTAAATCTACCATCTTGAAAACTGTTTTCTGTTTTTCGTGTTTGTTCTTTACTTTCTGTCTTCTTTGGTTTTCATGGAGTATTTTTTTTTTTTAACTCAATTATATCTCTTTTCTTGACTTATTTATATTATGTTTTAAACATTTAGTAGTTGCTTTAATGTTTGCAATATACCTTTTAAGTAATCTAAGGCCACCTTCAGATAATTCTATATCACTTTATGCACAGTACAGGTAACTTAGAATATTCCTAATTTCTCCCTCCTATCCCTTGTTATTTCACTTTTTATATGCTATAAATGCTAAATATATTATTATTATTTCTTTAAAATCAGTTATAATTTAGTGCAATTAGAATAAGAAAAAATAACAGAGTATATTTCGTTTTCATTTACTCCTTTTCAACTACTCTTTCTTTACGTAGATCCAAGTTTCTGACCTATATAATTTTCCTTCTGTTAGAAGACTTCCTTTACAAATTTTTTAAGAGAAGCTGTTTATTTCCCTTTTCACTTTTGAAGGATAATTTTGCTGGATATAAAATTCTACTCTGGCAGATTTTTTGTTTTCTTTTAACACTTTAAAGTTGTCATTCCATAATGTTCTAGTTTGCATCATTTCTTATGAGCAGTCTAATTCTTATCCATGTTTCTCTGTAGGTAAGGTGTTTTCTACCTTTTTGTCTTTGTTTTTCTGCAGTTTGAGTACGATATGCCTCTGTGTGTGTGTGTGTGTGTGTGTATATGTGTTGGGGTGAATTAATCCTGCTTGTTGTTCTCTGAGCTTCTTGAATCTATGGTTTGGTGTCTATCACTAATTTTCGAAAGTTCTCCACCATTATTTCTTCAAATATTTCTTCTGCTTAGTTCTCTCTTTATTCTCCTTCTCAATTTCCAATCAAACATATGTTATACCTTTTGATATTGTTTCACAGTTCCTGGATATTCTCTTCTGCACTGCCCCTCCCCCCAACTCTTTTTTGTACTCTTTGCATTTCAGTTTGGGTAATTTCTATTGACCTAATTTGACATTCACTGATTCTTTTCTGAGATGTGTCCCGTCTACTGATGAGTCCTTCAAGACATTCTTCACTTCTGTTATTGTGTTCTCAATTTCTAGAATTTATTTTTGATTTTTCTTATATTTTCCATCTCTCTGCTGACATTATCGATTTTGTCTTTCATGTTGTCTATCATTTCCATCAGAACTCTTAACATACTAATAATTATCATTTTAAATTTCCTGTCTGGTAATTTCAACACCCGTGTCATATCTGAGTCTAGTTCTGATGTGGCTTTGTCTCTTCAAACTGTGATGTTTCTTGATTTGGAGTATGTTTTGTCATATTTGTTGTTGTTGCTGACAGCTGGACACGTTATATAGGGCAGTAGACACTGATGTAAATAGGACTTCAGTGTGAAGATTTATGTTAATCTGGTCAGGAACTGAGTTATCCTTGATGCTTGCTGTATTTATTGGTACCAGAGGTGTTAAATTCCTTTACTGACTTTGTTTTTGTCTCCCTCGTTGGCCTTGGCCCTTCCCTTTGTGCTGCTCTTTAGAGACAGTCTACTTCTTGCAGCTCTCCAAGTTGTAATCCACTGCTATTTTAAATGGAGGTTTATGAGCTAGTGTTAGGATGTGAAGAAGGAAGGCATTCTCTACTCTTCTTATTGTGTCTCAGTCTTTGGAGTTCACAGTGGGTCTGAGTCTTGAGGATGAGGACTTCAAAGTTTTGGTCCCTCTTCTAGTGGTAATGTTTTTTTCCTCCCTGCCCCCTAATCTCTTCTCTGGCTGCATTATTCCCAGTTTACGTATATGAAACACTCTCCCTTATATTTTAAGCCTTTCCTTTCTGTATTTTTCTTAGGTGAGACAGGCGAACTGGAGTGGGGCTGCAGCAAGGCAGAATTCCCTTTCCCTAGCTGGAATGCTTGCTGAAAGTGAAGATGACTTGAAGCACTTACTGATGAAGATTAGCAACTACAGTCTGTAGTGTTTTACATCTCAATATAAAGAAAATGAAAATCCTCACAACTGGACCAATAAGCAGCAACATGATAAATGGAGAAAAGACTGAAGATGTCAAAGATTTCATATTACTTGGTTCCACAATCAACACCAATGGAAGCAGCAGTCAAGACATCAGATGACATATTGCACTGGGCAAATCTGTTGCACAAGACCTCTTTAAAGTGCTGAAGAGCAAAGATAGCTCTTTGAAGACTAAGGTGCACCTTAGGTGATTTTCAGTCACCTAATATGCATGTGAAAGCTGGACAATGAATAAGGAATACCAAAGAAGAGTTGATGCTTTTAAGTTGTGGTATTGGCAAAGAATACTGAAGGTACCATGGGCTGCCAGATGAACTAACAAATCTGTCCTGGAAGAAGTACAGCTGGAATGCTCCTTGGAAGTGAGAATGGCCAGACTTTATCTCACCTACTTTGGTCATGTTGTCAGAAGGGAACATTCCCTGGAGAAAGATATGATGCTTAGTAAAGTGGAGGGTTAAAAAGGGGAAGGCCCTCAAAGAGATGGATTGACACAGTGGCTGCAACTATGGCTCAGGTATAGCAAGGATTGTGAAGCTGGCCCAGGACCAGGCAGTGTTTTGTTCTGTTGTACATGGGGTCACCATGAGTCAGAGCCAACTCAACAGCACTTAACAACAACAAGCTGGAATGAGATTTCACTGTTGCCCTCTGGCTATATCATTCCCCAAATTAAAGCTTTTTTTTTGTTTTTTTCTGTAACAGAAGAGAGCCAGGATAGAGTACACAATGTTTACTCTTCATCTCCTCTAGGCAAAGCTGGGGGAGGAGGTGTCTCCAGATTCATCTCGATCCTCCTCGGTCCTCTGTCTCAGGACTTAGTAAGGTTCCTGGAGGAAAATCCTGTGAAACTGCAGCTCCCATGTAATTCTCATTCTCACCCACTCCTCTGGGAGTTCATCAAAATCCCTAGCTTAATATTCCTACCAGTTTATGGTTTCTCCTCCAGGTATACAAATTTCAGGTCCTGTATCTCCCTGGAGACACATGTCTTTCCAGAATTTGGAATGGCAATTTGCCTTGAGATGCCAGAACTCTTGACAGGTTCAAGAAAAATAGTTGATTTTGTCCAGCATTTCTGTTGTTGTTGTTGTAAGAACAAGAATGCTGACTTCCAAGCTCTTTATGTGTCCAAGTTAAAATGAAAAGTCACCCAATTTCCTTTTGAACTTACTCCAATTAAGCTTCTTTCACTACTCATAGGTCAACTGAAATTGCTTCTGTCTTGGTCACTAATGACCCCTGTGCTACTGAATCCAATGGTCACTTCTAAATCTTCATCTTTGACCTTTTCCAGCAACACTTGACAAAACCATCCACTCTTTCCTCCCTTAAATTATTTTTTCTTTTTACTTCTGACAAGTAAAGGGAAAACCATGCTCACTTGCTTTTCTTCCTAACTTCTTTTGTTGGATCTTCTTTCTCTGCTAAATGTTGCCTCTGTCATGGTATTTATTCTCCTCATGGATTATATAGCTGTGTTACGGATTGAATTGCATCCCCAAAAAAGATATGTTGAAGTTTCCTAAGCCTTGGTACTTGTGAACATGACCTTCTTTGGAAATAGAGTCTTTGCAGATTGTAATCAAGTTAACGTGAGGTCTTACTGGTGTAGGGATGGGCCTATCATCTCAGTGGTGTCCTTATAAAAGAGGAGAAGAGACACAAAGATACACAAATGAAAGATGGCCATACAAAGATGCACCTATACTCCAAGTAATGTGTGGGACTACATGAAGCTGAGAGAGACAAAAACAGGATCTTCTCCTAGAGACTTTACAGGGAATATGGCCTGGACAACATGTTGATCTGGACTTGTACCCTCCAGAACTATTAGACAATAAATTTCTGTTCTTGTAAGCCATCCAATTTATGTTATTTTGTTATGGCAGCCCCAGGAAACTAATACAACTTTCTAGATGGGAAGACCCTCAATGAAATGGATTGACATAGTGGCTGCAATGACGGGATGAGGTACAGTAAGGATTGTGAGGATGGTGCAGGACTAGGCAGTGTTTCATTCTGTTGTACACAGGGTCACTATGAGTCATAGCTGAATCGATGTCACCTAACAACTACAACAGGTGACCTCATTTATTTTCATTACTTTAAATACCATCTGTATGCTGATGACTAGCAAGTTTGTATCTCAAACATGGACTTCTAGACTTGTAAATCCACTTTAATATCTCACAATTTAGGAGCTCTGGTAGCGTAGTGCCTAAAGGCACTTGACTGCTAACCAGAAGGCTGGCGGTTCAAACCCACCAGCCACTCCTCGGAAGGAAGATGGGGAAATCTACTTCCGTAGTGACACTGCCTCGGAAATCCAAGGAGGGGTCGCTATGAGTCGGGTCCGACTCGATGGCACATAACAACAACAACAACAACAATCTCACAATTTAACTTTAATAGATCCAAACACAACGCTTGATTTTTGGCTCTCAAATGTTATTTTATATCAGAGTTATCAGAGGAGTTCATTAAAATGCAGATTCTAGAGCACAACCTCCAGAGATTATGATTCAGTAGTAACTGGGATACTGATAGTCTGATGACCACACTTCGAAAAATGTTACTGTAGAGGAATGATTAAGAGTGTTGCTGTTAATAGCCTACCTAGTGACATGATCCTCAATTTTTCTCTTTCTCACCATTTCTAGGATAATTTTGGAAAGAAATGGCTAGAGGTCTTCTCAACTCCATAGAAAGTATTTTCAGATTACATCAAAAGTATCCAGTTCTGTACATCTCTTACCAAAATGATCTTCATGTTGCTGCCAAGCACAGTTCAGAGACTTGGAGGCTGTATGGTGCCCATGGATGGCTAATGGAAATAAGCTTTTGAATTTGGGCTGTTGAAGGGCCCAACATGTGACTCCTCCCTTCAGCAGGTTCTGGAGCCTGCTTTGTAAGTGGAACAACCCGTGGTACCACATCCTAGAAAATTCAACAATAAGAAGAGAGTTAAAAACATTATAAAATAACTTCTGTGAGACTATAGGAACACTACATATATAACTATGGAAAAGAATAGATTTAATTATTTCAACTACAGAGGATTAAACAAAGGAGAAATTCTGAAAAGCTAAGTATAAGTGGGAGCAAGGATATCTCCTTGAGGACTAAGGTGCACCTGACACAAGTCATGATATTTCCAATCACCTCGTATGCATGTGAGAGCTGGACAATGAATAAGGAAGACTGAAGAAGAGTTGATGCTTTTGAGTTGTGGTGCTGGTGAAGAATGCTGAAAGTACCATGGACTGCTAAAAGAACTAACAGATCTGTCCTGGAGGAAGTGCAGCCAGAATGCTCCTTGGAAGCAAGAATGGCCAGACTTCATCTCACTTATTTTGGTCATGTTGTAAGAAGGGACCATTCCCTGGAGAAGGATGTCATGCTTGGTAGGGTGGAGGGTCAACGAAAGAGGGGGAGGCCTTCAACGAGATGGATTGACCTGGTGGCTGCAATGATGGGCTCAAGTATAGCAGGGATTGTGGGGCTGGCGTGGGATCGGGCAATGTTTCGTTCTGCTGTGCATGGGGTCGCTATGAGTCGGAAACGACTCGACGGCACTTAACAACAACAACAACAATATAAGTGGTCTATAACCATTATATCTACTTTCTTAAAAGACTGCTATTTTATGCCTTGCAATCTTTTTCTCAGGATGGGGCAGCATTTTGCTCTGTTGTACGTTAGGTCGCTAACAATTAACTCAAGGGCACCTAACAACAACAACAACAACAATCTTCTGGTTAGTACTGAAATGAAATGGCTCTTCAAAAATTCATGAATTAATTACCTTCCAACAAATGTAATGAATGCTTTCCAGGTCTCATTCGTCTAGGCCTTTCTGCTTGTGACACTATTTATCAATCACTCCCATGCTACCTCCTTAACTTTCTTCTGCACTGATTTCAGGTGACAGTGGGCAAGTTACTCAAGTCCTCTGTGACTCCATTTCTTCCTCTGTGAAATAAGAATAATCACCAGTAACAAGTGTCTTGTGAGTTAGTACGAGAACCAAACTACTCAGAACTGTGTTTGGCCCATGGGGTGAGAGGACTCACTGCCATCAAGTCAATTTTGATTCATAGTGATCCTTTAGGACAAAGTAGAACTGCCTCATAGGGTTTCCAAGGCTGTAAATCTTTACAGAAGTAGATTACCCCATCTTTCTTCTGTGGAGGGCTGGTGGGTTTGAACCACTAATCTAGTTAGCAGCCAAATGCCTTATCCCTTACACTGGCCTATAGTAAACCCTATGTAAGTGTTAGCTGCTATCATCATCATCATCATGATTATTCTTGTTATTGATAAACTGTGCCTGGGAAAAGTGCCTTAATGAACCTGCTCGAGGTGACTGAGTCCCTGAGTGGCATGGCTTCAAAAAAATTAATAAAACAACTCCCTTTGCATAAAACCTTAAAATAAATTAATTTGCTCTGTAGAAAAAGAAGGAGAAAGAAAGCGGCTGTGTGGTACTTGATGTGAATCTTCTCAGTGACCTCTCAAATATGCAGTAAAGCCATTAAACCAAAAGTTGGCTGCTTTGAGTATACTTGTGTATGTGTGTGTGTGCATTTATGCAGTGTGTAATCTGATGAATTTCATGTAGATTTGTGATGAAACCAATTATATGCACAAAGCCTATAGCTGGAGACATAAAATTTTTTTGATGACTTGAGGTATGGTTATGAAATAAACTAAACCCAAACCAAACCCACTGCCATCGAGTTGATTCAGATTTCTAGAGACCCTATAGGACAGAGTAGAACTGCCTCATAGGGTTTCCAAGGCTATAAATCTTTACAGAAGCAGACTGACTATCTTTCTCCCATGGAGTAACTGGTGGATTTGAACCACTGACCTTTGGGTTAATAGCAAAATGCTTTAGCCACTGTGCCACCAGAGCTCTATAACAGGCTATAAAATTGAGAGCAAATGTCAAATTTATTGAAATTTTGTGGGTGGGTAGAAGGAAGAGAGCAGATAGAGGCCTCTGTTGATATTTAGGTTGTATTTCTTCATGTCTTAAAATAGATTTTGGCATAAAGTCTCTTTTGTGTGATATCAGTATGGTCACCTTTGCTCTATTTTGGTCATTATCTGCATGGAATATTCTTTTCCATCCTTTCACTTTCAGTCTATCTGTATCCTTGGGCCTAAGATGTGTCTCTTGTAGAGAGCTTACGGATAGGTCATGTTTTCTCATCCATTCTGCCACTCTTTGTCTTGATCTTGATACCAACAGTTAATATACAAACAGTAAGTAAATAAATACTAAACAGTAAAGCTCTAGTCCTAATTCTCTCTTACTTCTTTCCATCTCTGTTATTAGACCATTTATCACATCATACATTCCATGTCTGTCAGGATAACTTTATACTTCTTTCTTCTACATATGATGATGTGAAGTTTGTAGCACATAACAACTAAATTTACCCCATGAAAATGCCCTGTAATAGGACTTTTCATTTGCCCATGCCATTGCCTTTATTGGAGATCTCTCCTTTATTTATTTATTTTGTTTTCTACCCCTTGTACTGGATCAGGTAGTTGTCTGGTGTTCTTTCCTTTCCACTTGAAGGACACCCTTTAGCAGTTCTTGCAATGCAGGTCTGGTAGTTTCAAATTCCCACCACTTCTGCTTGTCTGGGAATGTCTTGAATATGCCACCATTTTTTAAAATTTTATTTTAAGAGTTTGTTTTACATTCAATGTTATGTGTACATTTATTTTCACTCCCCATTTACCCAACTCTAACCCAGTCTCCTCCCCTCCCTGCCCAGTAACCCTCCTCCTGTGCCCCTCATAGTCATGCACTTCTGTCTGTCCTGCATTACCTCCATGTGAATATTGCCCCTTGGTGCCTCGTGGTCTTTTGCTCCAAGGGATCTATTTCCATAGACTATGTGGGTGCATCCCCCTGGGTTGAGCGGTCTGCATGTACATCTTGTTAACTATTGAGCTGAGAGCACCTAACAACAACAACAGTGCTCTTTTTTCTTTCTTCT